GAAGCTGTCCTCAGGAGCCTTGGTCAGCTGCAGACGGTGCAATGCCGAGTGTCCTGCTGGACAAGTGCCGGCTGGGCTGGCTGCCCAGGCCGGTCTCAGGCCAGCTGTGGTGGCAGTGGTCAGCTGCTGCTGCTCTCTGGGCCGGTGCCAGCCAACCTGCTGGGTGTACCCCAGGGGACCGAGCCTGCTGAGCTTCCTGGAACCAGGGATGCCCTCCGGCCACTTCCTCTGTCCTGTCTCCAGGCATGCCAGGGAGCAAAACAGACTTATTTGCCTGGTGCGTTTCTGACAGCCTAGCCCCATCTGTGCACGGCAGCTGTGGACCAGCTTCACCGGGTCGGCCCTTTATTGAGGCCCCTGAAAGCACTCACAGAATGCACCCTGCTTTCATGAAGCTTTGAGAGGCTCCCTGGTGGCGTGGCAGCAGCTCCTCTGCCCAAACTGCTCTGAAGGGACACAAGGCTGCATCTTGGGCACCAGCCTGGGCCCTGCTATGGCAGTGCACTCCCTGCACACAGCACTCCCACCCTACTGAGCACCAAGGCCAGAGGTCAGGTGTGCAGAGCCACAGTTCTGCCCAGCAGGAGGGACAGGTCTCACAGGGAAAGGAAGTCATCCTAGGCCTTCTCCACATTTGTTACTGGAAAGAATAGGCATTCGTACGTATGGGGAAGTGTCTTGGGCCTACATGGTCCTGTCAGCCATGGCCAATGGGTCACACCCTTGCTGTCTGTGAACACAGGTAGGGATCCTTTCTGTGGCTTTGCCCTGTGTCCTGAGCTGAACGTGCTCACTGCCTCCCCCTCCGCACCCCTGCCTCTCTGTCCCAGGGTTCACTCTTGTTTAAGACACGGTGAGGCTTGGCGCCCATAGCATAGTGGTTGTGGCACCAGCCACATACACTGAGGTTGGTGGGTTCAAATTGGGCCCTGAACCCGGCCCGGGCCAGCTAACCAATAATGACAACTGCAACAACAAAAAAAGACAGGGTGGGGCAGCATGATGGGCTTCCTGAAGGTTCTATGGGGTCCACTCAGCCTTCCCAGGTATGAGTTTGGAGAGAGTGGGGACGAGACCTGGCCCTGGAGGTCTCAGACTGCCCTCTGAAGCCCTGAATAACAGCAGCAGTACCTGAGGGTACACAGGTACCCACATGCTGCTCTTCCTGTGGCCAGCACCCACAGGGCCCTTAGGAGCGAGGCCCAGTGACCAGGCAGGCCGGGTGAAGCCTGGCAGACTGTCCTGAGCTGGGGAAGAAAAGGATTTCGTTTATGTTGAGGGTTTTTTTTTCCTTTGTTTTAAATGAAAACAGCCTCCTTCCTCATGTCTAGGCCGCCCTTGTGAGTGAGGCGGGCAAATCGTCCAGGCAGACTCCGGAAGCTGCATTGACAGCAGGCTGTGGGATTAGACAGGAGGCTGTGGGACTAGACAGGAGGCTGCGGGATTAGACAGGAGGCTGTGGGACTAGACAGGAGGCTGCGGGATTAGACAG